CAACAAACTCCGATTTGCTTAGCTTTATCTAAGCTAATCGTATCTAGAGGAGATCACGTACAACCATGGAGCATGATACACTGTATTCAGATAAGTCCACAGCTGACAATAACGCGTGGTTCTCCTTCCTCAGTTTGTTCAGCTCATCTGTGACCCTGGATGGTATCTGCAAGAAGCCTGCTGACACAGACCAACCCATAACCTGCACCCTGAGAGCAATAGTGAACCGTTTACGCAGGTATAGACGCTGCCTTCAACACTGTTTATCTCATTTCTTTTATTATCATGTTGTTTGCACAACCAGGACGTAGTGGCTTTTCACATAGTATCAGCTGATAAACGAGTGCTGCTGTTTTCTGCCTTGATGACATGGTACATTCACATGTGTCTGTATGGTTAATGTGTTCTTACAAAGTGAATTCATGCAATTGTTTTCTCATAGCTAATCTATTTATTTCAGACAAGGCTTCGTGCCTGCAGAGAGTGTGATGAATTTTCGGACTCATCTTGGCTGTGACACTTTTCAGACAGAGGAAAAAGGTACGCGCCCGTATCTTGAAATACATTATAATATAATAAAAAAAATCTGAGGCCTTTTTTCCAGATTTATTTATCTGTTCTTTTTTAAACTGCCTCTCGTCATTGTAGATCCAGAGGAGTTCATCACAGTCCTCTTTCAAAAGGTGCTTTGCACGGAGCCTCTGCTCAAACTCAGGTATGAACTTGAGCCGCCCAGGACTGAATATCTTACTCTATTTTACTGAGTATAGTTGAGTTACTGAATATGTGTTCCCCCGCAGATCGAAACGAGAAACGTCCCAGGATGCCTACACCTTCCAGATCTTTCTGGAGAAGGAGCAGATGGGACATATACCCACGGTCCAACAGCTGATGGACACGTCCTGCCTGTCAGGTGACCTTAAATTTGAAACGGTGAGTCCTTCTCTTAGTAGAAGCGAGAGTGTCTTCCTCTGTACAGTCATTAATACTTTTTTTATGTCCTTCAGATGCCGTCCTGTCTAATAGTTCAGATGCCGAGGTTTGGAAACAAATACAAGATGTTTTCTCACATTATTCCCTCCTTGAAGCTGGACATCACAGATCTTCTATACAACTGTGAGGAGCAGTAATAAGCAGCACTTTCTTAAAAATTGCATTAAAGGAATCCTTAATAATGCTCAGGATCATCTGCTTTGTCCAACAGCTCCGAGGGAGTGCTTTGTCTGTGGGCGTTTGGCAGAGTACGAGTGTCTTCAGTGTCTGCCAGATCGCAAACTGCAGCCAGGGAGAATCAAACAGTACTGTACCACCTGTAATGCACAGGTAAAACTAGTGGCTGCTTTAGATGTCAGGTGCAAATTCATGAACCAAACTTTTTGTATGAAGCTCTCTATGTCAATTTTTCTTTAAGATACACAACCATCCCTCACGACAAGGCCACTCTCCCAGTGCTCTAGCAGTACCAGTAGAAGTTCCCACCGATACTCCTGTTCCCAGACACACAATGGAGCTGTTTGCTGTACTCTGCATTCAAACCAGCCACTACGTGTCCTTCGTCAAATACGGCTCTGACGTTCACTCCTGGATCTTCTTTGACAGCATGGCAGACAGATGTGGTGAGAAAGATTTTTGTTTGTGTTTATTCGGAGTTTTTTACGAGGTTCGTGCAAACACTGAGTTGATTTTTTTGTTCCTTTTCTTTCTGTGAGGCGATTAAGCATGGCCGCTTTATTTTCTGATAGCGCAGATTTGACAGTGTTGCATAAAGGCACTAGACAGAACAGTTCTGACGTCTTTGACTGCCCTTTATCACCTACTGGGCTGATGTCTAATCTTGAGGCTGCTCTTCATCATAGGTGACGATCAAAGTGGCTACAACATTCCAGAGGTCCGCGCTTGTCCGGAGCTGGGTGATTTCCTGAGTCAGCCAGAGGAGGAGCTGTCTCAGGCCAACCCATCCCAGGCTCCTGAGCTAGTGCGCAGGCTGCTGTGTGACTCCTACATGTTTTTATACCAGAGCTCAACCACGTGATTTGAAAGCCAAACAGTTAGGAGCCTTAAATGCGTGTGAAGAGGGACACGGTGTTCCAATAACAGTGCCTTCTATACCCTTATATCTCTGCTTAATCAGCTTTTGTGCACTTTATCATTGTACAAACAGCAGGAACTAAAATGTATGCTTTCAACATCC